TTTAATGAATTTTTTTTATTAGAATTCTATGATTCTATAGAATTCAAATAAAAAAAAATCATTAAATTTGATCAAGTAGTTAGTAAGAAATTTTTATTTAAAGTTATTAAAATTTGTAAACAAAAAGTATAATGTAAATAAAATGTAATATAATCAAAGTGATATACATAAATTATAATGATGCAAATAGTAAAAATTATGGTGTGAATAGCAGTACTCTATTGCAAAATATATAATTATAAAATATTATATAAAATTATTATAAAATATTTTATAAGATATTGTATAATATTTTGTATAATATTCAAAAAAAATAATATTTAACTCTTTCTAACAATCACTTGGTACCAAAATTTTAGGAAAAACCAACTCACAAAAAACAAAAAATTAGTATATAATAGGATAAAACTGAGTTTTAAAATCAAACTATAAGATAGTATTTATTGTTTAAAAATAGTTCTCATATGCTATCTGCTAATAGTCTTAGAGTTTATCACTTACTGTAAATATAGTATCTGTCACTTAAAAGTAGTTCTTATATGCTACTTGCTAACAGTTTTAGAGTTTATTATTTACTGAACAAAAAGCAACTAGCTTCATGTTAAATATATTAAATTTCTTGCTAGTAAAACAACTTTTTTTAATATCTAAAATCTTTATACAAGTAGTTTTTTTTTCACTCTCCTACTACTTCCTAGTCCTTCAAAATTTTTAACAAAAAGTAGACAAAACAGCTTACTCTTTTTAAAAAATCAGCATTGTTTACACTTATCTAATTAGAATATACTTAGTAAAATATAACTACATGTTTGTTTTGTTGATCAACATAGTGCTATGATACAAGATAGATCCAGTGCCCTATCTAGAAAATATTTAATATCAGTTACATGTCTAGAAAGAACTCTAAATATTAAGGCAAAGCTTTATAGTAAAGATATATTAAATATTGCAATTTAGTATATAATTTTTTAGCCTTGCACAGGTTATAATAGTGTACTCTTCTTATTTGTATATCAGGCTTTTCTCTTTTTTTTTATTTTTTTTATCTTTATCTTTTTATATTTAGGTTATTTGTTTAGGTTGCATAGTATATTTCTATTCTTTTTTGCTATTATTTCCTTTTTCTTTTATTTTTACTCTTTGGTTTAATTTATTTTTTTATTTGCTTTATTATAAAAATAGTTTGAAAAAATCTTTCTACCATGATCTAGATGAAAAAAATTTAAAAAAAAGAGGTAGTCATAACAGGCTACAAAATCTAGTTAATAATTTTTTTAAAAGAACCAAAAGATCCAATCAAGTATTGAAACAAACTCTGTCTTGCAAATCATATGGAACCCCCATAGCAAAAGGGGGCAGTGGGCCAAAAAAATTTTTTTTATTTTTAATTGATTTCTTAAAAAATTAGATTGATAGGAAACCAATGTTTATAAAATTACAAAATCAAAATTTTTATCCCACTGCCCCCTTTTGCTATGAGGGTCCCCATATATAGATACCTACAGTAACTGGATAAGTTGTATTTTAATTTGTAAGATACATAGTATCGGAAATAGTATAGCATTTGCATATGTAACTATTTCTCCTTTAATAAAGTATAGCATAACTACTTGTAAAAAAAAATATATATTTTGTACAATATTTAATATAACTAATATTTAAAGTAATATTTGGTTCATCAAATTACTATTATCTAATTATGATTAAAGATTATCAATTATATAAATGTTTTTTTTTCTATATTTTTATATTTTTATTCTTTTTCTTTATTTTTTAGGATTAGATTTCTTTTTGCTATAAAGTAAATTCTTAAAATAGATTTTTGGTATTTTCTGCTAAAATGTCTTGTAATATTTCTTTTAATTATCAGCATTTTGCTAGTAAATTGTCTTGTAGTATTTCTTTATCCTTTATTTTAAAACTATACTTTAACTCTAAAAATTCTTAGGCTAGTGAATTTTATCTCTAGTTAAATCTAAATATTTTTAAATTTAATTTTAAAATATTTTACTGAAGGTAAAATTCATCAGAGTGCTATATAATGTTTTGAGTTGATTAAAATTGTTTCAATCAATTAGTTGTCAATTTAATTGCAACCAAAATTTACATGTTTTCAATAAATTTGATTGGCATAATAAATAACTCGTGTTTTCTGTATCATTTTAAACCATTTTGATTGGCTAAAAAAATCGCACGTTTTAAATTTATTGTCGGGGATGAAGCTGAAATCGGATGATGCTGAAATTTTGATCTATTTTATTATGAAATTTTAAAAAATTTTCGTTAGGGGTTTTTTTTAGGGTTAGGTTAGGGTTTAGGGTTAGTGTTGTTAGTAAAAAAGTATATGTGAATTTTAGTAGGTATTATTGATTTAAATGGGGACTCTAAATTTCAGCATCAGCATCATACCCGACATTTATTATGTAGCAACGATTAGTTGATTAAAAAATTTCCAATTGATTAGTCAACTAGTTGTCAACTAGTTGGTTTTTCAATAACGATTTATTTCATAAATTTTTAATTCAAATTAAATTTAAACAAATTTTTAAATAATTAAATTTAGCCAGAGTTGAAATTCACCGGCCTAAGAATTTTTAGAGTGTAGTTTAAGATGATAGGTTTTTATATAACATAATGTAGATTAGATATTAGGTCCCGATCTTAGTTTTCGTGAGGTTTTCAGGGTCCCGAATTTCACCTCCAGGGAACTCCATATTTAAATATATATTTGACCAACACCTTTAATAAAAGTGCCAAATATTAAAATTATATAATCAATTAATCAGTTAAAAATAATATAAATTTTTTTTTTTATACAATATATTAAATACCAGAATTTGAATAAATTGAACAATACAAAAATCATTCAATTCGGATACAATAGCTTTAACATAATCCGAACAATACCAATACCTCTTATAATATCCGATGATTAAAAACCGCAATGCCCAGGGCGTTATTTCGAATGACATCCAAGATTAAGTAAATTATAACCGTAATTCGAAATGGTCTCCCTGAGTAATCAATGCATTTATATATTATTTTTAACAAGACCTTTTCCAAATATCACATTCTAGTGATTTTTAAGGAAAGCAAATAATTAAACGTTTCAGGCTAGATCGAAACATACGGTCTAAATCTAGTGTTGGCTGAAATGTTTCGAGAATTTATTTATACATATTCTGCTAAATATGGCAGTGAATTCAGTAAAATGAGACGTTTAGGGGAAATGGCTATCCATATTTGATTACGGAATGCAGTCATTGGATATGAATTCGGTAAAATTGCAGACATATTTAAATTTGATGGACATCAAGATGTCCAATCATTTATTTTTACATTCTAAAACAAATTTAAAATCAAAAATTTAGTATGCGCAGCATACTAAATTTATTTTGATATTACACTAGCTGGTGGTAATCATGTGCGATTTTAGTGAGGACAAAGGGAGGCGGTTCGTAGTTACATATAGTATACAAAATGAAAAAATCCTAAATTAGAATACATGGGATATGGTACAATGTAATAATACCGCTCGCAAGCAAATTTTACTCTTCAGATTTAACAGATCGTTCTAAGGTTTGTGTTGACGTTAAAGAACTTGGATTGTTAACTATCTCTACAACACCACTTTGACGATTGTTAGAACTATTTGTAGTATTATTTTCCCTCTCGGACCTATTTTCCACTGTCGCCACTGAACTTTCATCACTCTCGTTGCTATCTGTCGTAGTTGTATTTCCATTGGTTTCATCATCTCCTACCACCGTACTTGCGTTTGATCCCTCTAAAGATTCAACGTATTTAGGTAAGGATAGCCCGTCATATGGAGGTAGATATTCATCAACCGATCCAGCGGTTGAAGCAGTATCAAATCCATTTTCGTTTCTGACCCTTATAACATCATTAACTTGTCCTTCGTTTGGAGAGAAATTACGTCCTCTCATCTTATTTACAAGTTTAAATAACCAAAATATCAATTCGACTAATATCACAATGGAGATTACTATAAGAATAAACTTTGTTATTTCCGAGCTATAGTTTGAAGTCATCATATTATCGTTGTCCGAATTTTGAGGACCATCTGCCTTTGATATTTGGGTGGTTGATGATATAGGTACAGAAATTGCAGGGGAGGTCAGAAGCGTCAGAAGCGAGCATATTATGAGTGAAATTGTTGAACGTCTAAAGATAGGATTTGATGTCATTTTGGAAAGTATTCTGGAAAGTTTTTTGTATATATATGTATTTGTATTTTTTAAGGTATGGGTTTTAAAATTTTTGCTATATTAAAAAAAAAAAAAAAAGTAACTAAAAAAGAGTGTTACTGATCTCTTCTCTCGTTTAGATTATAAATTTCTTGCTGCTATCAACACATACTCTTTATGCGTTGTATTGAAGGGTATTAGACACATATGTAAAAAAAAAGAAAAATTCTATATCGTGAGTTATGGCAAAATAAAGAGATAGATGGTTAAAGGTGGCAGAAGAAATTTATAAAAAAAACAAGAAAAGAGCAAATGTTTCGTAGAAGAATAGAGTTTTTTCGTTTTAGAATGAACCAAATCTTAGTATTATTGTATATATAGGTCATGTTTTGTTTGTTTCTGCACTGGTACAATTTAGTAACAAAAGGAAATTACTGACCGTTATGCTCTCCTTAATAGTTAAGATCTATAAATATTTCATTTCACAGATAAACCAATCACATACAATTTCTATTAGCATTAAAATTTCGGGGCCAAATTTAATCGGGATTTTGTTTCGGATTAATAAATATATTAGTACTGTAGATTAGTACCGTGTAGTATACATGTGTTTTAAATTTCAGGCACTTACATAAATTATATCTTTTTGAGCTGTAGAATGGTTGTATCGGTGTAACTTGAACTTAAAATGGGTAAGCTTCATAATCGTAAATTACAAATTGCATCAAAATTAAACTTTTTGTTCTTGAGCTGCTTATCCAGCAATTATAATTTCATAATCAAAAACGAATTATGCCAGACGAAGCGGGTCATAAGAGACAGCGTGTTTCTAAAGCCTGTGATTCCTGTCGTCGCAAGAAAGTTAAGGTAGATGTTTTTTGAAGGATTTGAAGAATTTTCGTTATCGTTTTTTTTTCAAAAATTTCTTGTTATTCTAGTTATTTTTCCGTAAATTTGTATTCTATTTATTTACTGTTTTTATATTCTCTTTTTTTTTCTTAGTGTGATGGCGTTCAACCAGTGTGTGGTAACTGTTCGACTTTTAACCTGGATTGCACCTATAATGATGCCACCAAAAAAAGGTTTTTATCTTATTTTATCTTTACCTTATTTTATCTTTTTTTTTTTTCTTGTCAGGAGAATCCATAGAAGGAGCCATCATAGTCAATTTCTTATACTTAATTCCAGTTACCCTCGATTTTATGTTTCATGTTGATTTGTTGTTTTATGCAGGGGTCCCCCTAAAGGTTACATCGAAGCTATTGAGACACGACTACATAGAATGGAATCTCTTTTAGGTGGTTTGGTTCATAGCAATGATCCCTTTGCAGAGGCTGTATTGGCAGAGTTAATGCAAGATGACCCGCGCCCTTCTCGTAGATCTGGAAATATGGAATTTACATGGAAGAATGGCTCTTCATCGGTGCATGATGCAGGACGATCGGGCAGTTGTGGAGTGCAAAGCCCTGAAAACGTTTTGACATCTGAAGCAAAAGATAATTCTATTATTGATGATCTAAATGATATTATGGGTATTCTTAGTATAGATGAAAACAGACAGGTTCGTTATCATGGACGAAGTAGTGGGCTTTATCTCCTAAAGAATAGTGAACGATACAAAAATGGAATCCTGTCGTTATCCGATAATTCTCCAGAGGAAAATTTATTTTCTACCCAAAATCTAGAATTATTAAAACGACCGGAATTGGCGACATTGCCTTCCCAAGAAATATCCGATCACCTATTGGAGACTTATTTCACACACATCCATCCTCTATTACCTATTATATATAAACCAATTTTTTTTAATAGGTTAAAAGATCGAGATAATCCACCACTTCTTCTTTTGAATGCTATATACGCTCTTGCTGCAAGATATTCTGATAGACCTGAACTAAGAAAGAATCTTCAGGATTCGCAAACGGCCGGTGATGAATTCTTTGACCGTGCAAAGGCATTGCTTGACAATGATTATGATAAATCTCACATAACAACTATTCAAGCTCTTATTATAATGGCTTTAAGGGATATTAGGATCGATAACACCACGAGATGTTGGATTTACATTGGTATGGCTGCAAGAATGGCGCAAGATTTAGGTATTCACCGTAATAACGAAAAATGGCAGCCGATCTCGTTATCACACGAAGAAAAAGAAGAACAAAAACGTGCATTCTGGTCATGTTTTGTAGTTGATAGGTAGATGATATATATGCTCATATATTTTTAAAAGATTCACTAAAATTTTATACGATTTATTAATATCAAATACTTGATTTTTTATAGAATAGCGAGCACACATATGGGACGTCCATTAGGTATTGATGAAAAAGATGTGGATGCTGCGTATCCATCAGAAGATGAAGATGATGAATACGAATTACTTCCGTTTAAAATGACACATACAACAACATCTTCAACATTATTATCGTCACCTACTTCTACTAGTAGCAGCGTTTTTGGGTCACCTATGTCCTCTGCTTCAATGATAATTAACAAAGAGTCACCAAATGCCGCACGTTCTGTTTCGCGATTTAACCGTTTGATAAAACTTTGTGAAATAATGGGACGCATTATTCAAAATATATATGCGATTCGGTGTAATGTATCTTCTGCTAATAGTACAGTTACATCAGTTCTTGATTCATCTCTTACGTCTTGGTTCGTAAACTTACCACCACATTTACAATATAATCCATCATCGGATCAAAATTATGACACAACAACACTCAATCTTCATGGTTTATATTATTCGACATTAATCCTTCTTCATCGCCCTTACGCGAACACAATTGGTAAAAATCCATCTCATAACATATGTACTACTGCGGCGAATGCTATAACTGAAATCGCTGATTCAATGAGGCGGCGGAAACAATTAAAACATAGTCCAACTACTGTAATTTATTGTACTTTTTCAGCTGCCGTTATTCATACATACAATGCTATTCAACCTGATATTACTATTTCTCAACCAGCGAGGGAAAACCTTGAAAAGTGCCTAAAAATATTAGATGCTTTAATTGCTATTTGGCCATTAACATATAAATACGCTGTTATATTAACAGAGTTAGCAAACTTGAGAGATGCACAGTTGGATGTAAACATGGAGTCAAAAAACGATGGACCAGAAGATGGATTTAATTCTAGGAAACATATTAATCCTCCAATCATCTTAGATCAACATGAACGACAGTCGAGGATTCACGCTTTAAATAATAAAATCATAACATCACATAATAATAAAGGTAGTTCTACACATTCACAAATGTTTAACCCTGTATCTTCTTTAAATCATTCGCAGACTTATGAACGACAACCTTCTGTAATGGGTTTTGGTAATCCTCTCACAATTTCT